GGGGGCGGGCAGGGCGGGGAAGCCTGGTAATGTGAAATGCAATGAGGGCTCCTCCTTTGTGCTTGATGGTGACAAATTGCTGTGAGATGCATTAGAGAAAAGACTAACTGTTGAAAAAATATCATTTGTGGTTGTATATACAAAGTGAATTCCAATAAACAGAACAAAGCAGTGTGCGCACTTGAGACAAGAGTTCATCTCTACTGCTTGACATGATTGACATATGCAATGATACAATGTATGTATTAACTCCCAATTCGTGATAAATTATGAAGCGCTCAAATTAATAAAAGAAAAAATAAGCCAGTCTTTCATCTTAAAAAATGAGTTAATCTCTAAAGATAAATCCACATCACAACCAAAAACCAAGATAATTTTACTTTTCCAGATTTAGAAATGTTAGCATTCCTCAGATAAGTACTGTGAGAATGACACATTTATTGACTTTGTATATATTATGAGTTTTTGAGCCTCATGCTAAATAAGACCTGGCAAAATATATCATTCCTTATTAATGAATAATACCAAGAGAGGTATACATGAAGTGTTTATAAGTCATCAGTAATGTTACTATAATTTGAAGTTCAACTAAAGTGTTACATATTCAGAATGTATGTGAAGTAGTATTCCTGGGTATATGATTTTTTAAAACTGTGTTCCCAAATAGTGAAAGCCACAGCCATGAACTATTTTTCAATGGTGTAGTGAGGCTGGATAAAGAAAATCTCTAGCACTCTCGTCATGGGGTTTCTGAGTTAACCACAGTCTTTATTTTGTTATCTACCTGCGTCAGAAAGGCAAATGGCTGGGAAACTAGTCTGCCTCAGAAAATTAGGGAGAAAGATAAACCTCAGAAATATGCTTGAAAGCTTAAATATTTCTACAGGAATTCTTGTCAGATCTACATCTAGAAGATTAAATCTGATGTTCAAATGGACAAAATTAAGATACTTTCTGAGTTAGACTATTATACTTTTAATACTCATATTAAACAAAGGGAAACTAGATTTTTTTTGTACTAAGCTGAAAACATTGGCTATTTGGTCAATTTATAAATTCTATTAATCAAACATTATTTACATTTTGATTGAAGTTTTAATACAGAGTTTTCAAAAGTAATTATGTATAATTTAATAAGACTATAATTCATTTATATAACTATGATAAAATATATTAACTTAACAAGTCTTAAACTTCACTTTTATACCAAACATAAGAATTTAGAAATCTGCCATTTTCAGGGCTTAAAGAAATGTGATGTAGAGCCAGGGATACTATTTCAAGAGCACAATTTAATGATGGTTTCAGATGGTGTTTATTGCCTTCACATAATATAGAAATCCACAAGATCTTCCTCTTGGAATTATTAAGAGTGTTGTAACATGTTAATGATCAATTTCTCCAGCTTGTTTTATATCATTTGGGCATGCCATTCTGAAACTTAGAAATGCATACTGCACTTAAGTTTCATGATTAATAATCACTCTCTGTGTGTTCCTGCTCCTTTTATTTATTTTTTGTTTTTGAATTCTTCAGTTTGCTGTGTATATTAGAGAAATTTTAAAATATAGAGATTTTATAAATATTATTTTATTAAAATTGCATTGCTTTTTCTTGTCTACTCATGTCTAATAACAAAGAACTATTTTTGGAAAAAAATATGCATGGATATCTTTACTACTTACTATATGCTACTTAGTGCTACAATGAAGAATGAAAATTTGATTTTTATAAATGATTATAAACTATGTTTCCAGATGAGGCTGCAGGTTGGATGGAGGCCTACCTAGTAAATGATCTCAGGGGTTAAAGATCATGAATCAATTTCATTCCATTCTATGAATTTCCTAAATAGTGAGATTGGCTTTAGTATTGACCCAAGATCTTCCTTGTGGGCCTCAGAATGCTATGGCTGCTTTTAATATTGCTTAGGCAGTATGTGCGCTTCCCTGCTCTGTCTTGACCAAAGGCCTAGACATAGTAATACCACCCCTATCCGATATCTGACCCCAAACCAAACTTTCCTAGTCACAGAAATTGAGCAAATACTATCTTCACTGCCGGTTGCCATTTGTAACTCAACCTTCAAATCACAAATGTTGTCAATCTATGCAAAATGCATAACAATGCCAGAACACAGGGAGGGAACATGCCCATTCCTACTCTTAAGGGAACAATGATTTGTAAATATTCAAAACCAGACTCACTCGTGTCAATATAAGAATAATGGCCACTGTCAGCTAAAGCAGACCTTTAGTCAGGAATGGACTCAGTTCATTGATTCAATTATTGAAACTGCGGTTCAACAGCCATCTGTGGACTAAAGACTGGGAGCAGGGGTTGAACTAGCTGATTTGTCCCCTTTCCATGTGATGCCCCTTTCTTACTCTGCGGTGATAATGGCGCTCAGAAACTGCTTCAGCAACTTAGAGCTGTGCACGGGAACTGCTGTGCAGCAAAGAAAGGGCAGAGAAAGTTGATGGCATGGTCTCAGCTGTGCTTCATTTGTCGAAAAGCACTATCATATGAATATTCATAAATTTTAAATCATTTACGTAATTAGTATAAGTGAGTGCTGGCTGGGTGCAGTGAGTAGAATCTGAAATCAGCTTTTTTGTTTAGTAATTTCTTCAGCAGCATTTACTAGTTAACTCATAAATGTTGTTGCAAAGAAATCATCAGAGCCAGAGCCTTGTGACCAAATGGACATCTTTGATCTTGGTACTTTACTTTCATTACATAGGGAAGGTTAAAGCATCAACTCCTTTAGCGTTTTTCTTTCTTGTCAGGAAGCTGTTAAGAGTCTTTCACTCTTAAATCAGTGAAGTGGGAAACACCTATTTGCATTTTAATGACCAGTTCTTTTGGAGAGAGCTAGTTCTTTGGATACAGATTTCATAATTGGCATTGTCTCAGATGATAATATCTGTCCAAAAATGAAGCCAGGAGTGAAGTTTATAGGAAGCCATAGGTCTCTGAATTTCATGCGTGTGATCTCTATAATGGTGTGGCCTATGTATCAGAGAACTAAAAATGTAATTGTATATAAAATACAGATTACTCAGTCTACATTCAAATAGCTAGCGCTTTCTAAATTTCAGTTTCTGAAACTTTGATGGCCATGTTTGACAGGATAAAAATGCTTATGGAATGTATTGTTGCCTTTTGGTACCTCTCTCCCTACAGACAGTCCATATATGAATGCTTACAATAGATTATTGCAAGAAAGCTGAGGAAGTTTATGATTAATCATGTTCCTCATGCCATACCATAGTGGTTCATATTCTTTAAAGTTATGCCAAAATGTACTCTTAAAAACAAGTGAATTTAATGAAAAGCAACATCTTTTGTTAAAATTATTTGCCAATTTAATTGTTGGACAATCATTTTTCTAGCTATTCTTTTATAGGGTGAAGGTGTAGATTGTATGAGCAATAAATTGTATATTGCCATAACAAATTCCATTGAAAGATTTATGTAATACTGGTATGTTTGGTCAATTTACTATAGGAACATATTTTAAAAGCGCATGATCTTTTTCCCCCAATTATCTTGGCAGCTGCATGCTACCACCACCTGCTTTTTAGCAAACCTGTAGGGAAAGTAAGGAGCTCTGGGAGTGCTCCGGGATCGGTTTGGGGCTACTAAATACAAGGTAGAATATACAAATCCACCGGATTTCTTCTGCTGGAGAAAGATCAGACTGCCTGCTCCTTAAAGACTTACTGTCAGAAACCTTATATAGGGTTGCCATGATGCCATTCTTGTCAGTGGGATTAATTTTAGTTTCTGGAATAGGGAACAGGATGAGTGTGGGATGGGGACATACACGGAAGTTCAGAGATTTGTCTACCTATTTACATTTTTGCATATATTTGTCCTAGTAACATAATTTTTATGAAATGAGAAAACTGGTAAATTAGATACCCAGAAAGGTTAGAAGTGATGGCTGGTGAGTCCATTCCAACTCTTGCATGTCCAAGCAGAACTATTGCCCATTGGATTTTCAGAAGTTGCTTTCTCAGAAGCAGCAAGGTGCCTCCAAGTGGACTCTAACTTCCCAGCTTTTGCTTAGCGTCTGAGCCCATTCACCATTTGTGCCACCGTAGCTTTCTCTATCTGTTACTCATGGCATTGAATAACCCTTAGGAGGATGTGGAACTGTCCAATAGTTTACAACATTTTACAGAAACTGACTGCCCCATGTCTCTTGTGATGAGTTGGCGAATTTCCACTGCTGACCTTTTGATTAGCAGGCGAGCGCTGGACAACTGCACACCACGGCCTTGTGACCATATATAAGACTTATGCAACGTAACCCAATGCAAATGAAACAAAAGAAACCATTGTTAGATAAACTTAAAATGGAGGAATCTGTTGCCAAATATCACCATGGATTTTAACCTGATAGATTTTCTAAAGATAACCACAAAGCCAAACCATTGCCATCTAGTGGATTTCAACTCATGGAAACCCCTGGGTTACAGAGTAGAATTGCTTATGGGGTTGTCTTGGCCATAATTTCAATGAAGGGGATCACCAGGACTATCTACTGTGGTACTCCAGGCTGGGTACTCACCTACATTTTTTAGATTTGTGCTACCTAGAAGCATTTTGCCAAGGACAACCAAACTAAACCCACTAATAGTAGTGTTGCTTCTGACACAGGAGACCCCAGAGACCAGACTAGGACTGTTTCTTACGGACCCCTTGACAGTAATCTTTATGAGAGAAGACTGCCTCACCTTTTAAAGACTTCCCTAAAAGGGCCATTGCTTTTTGAAGATGCTGTTTTAAGATCTTTAAAGGAAACCCCCCACAACTTCTTTCATAAACCATGATTAAGCAAAGTACACTCC